TGAACATGAAGTTGACGGTAAATTCACCTACCAGATGAGCCTAAATAGGAAAGACAAAGTCAGTCCTGAGCTGCCGGAGAGTTTGCAGCCACCTTTTGAGCAGTTTTCTCCAGGAAAAAGCATCGTAGAGGAACCTTATACGTGAAACTGCGGGCCAACATGCCGACCATAGATGACCACATTCACTTAGTACTTAAGACGACAGGATTCCGTTTGCATTACTTGATTTAACGGGTGTTTATCAACAAAAAATTTGATGCTGACCTTTTATAAAATTCCGTGACTGATAGATGACAACAGGCTTACAGCAGATATATTGGATATCCTTTGAAATGTCAAATTACTAAGCTACGATAGTGCAGAAGCAATAAAAACTTGAAAAATTGTTAAACGAGCTCAGAACTTGCTCTGACAATGAAGACATCACTTCATTTTTCTAAAAAGAATTTAGTCAAGCTATCTACTAAGTGTAAACTGTATTTCATTGTGCCCTATAAATACCCCTTTTAAGGTCCCACAGCATCAGAAAAATCGATGAGAGTGTCTGAAGGAATTTCTACCTATTGTTTTTACCTGATGCTTTTACTTTAAAGATTTTAGGTTTCGAAATCATAGGCAACTGGGTTTCAGAATGTGTGAATATCTCGCTGGATATTTTGCTTAACATGGGCTTTATGCTAAAAAGTTTAGGGTTGGCTCATATCGCTGATAGTGAATCTGATGGGGATTTAAACTGTGGTATGTTACGAATTTTGCTGCATTTTGATATCCTTTATCACAGTGTGTCCTAGCACCAATAATAAAGGAATAGTAGTCATTCAACCTCAATACCTTTTCGATACAAACCTCTGCAACCATTTGAAGGAAGCATGCGGAATGAAATGCTCCCTGGTTGCCCAAACCTAGACAGGAGCACTAGAGATCCTGAGGTTGAGTTCGAATCACAAACTTTCTATCAGTAAGGTTTTAGCCACTGAGCTATCTCAAGCTGGAACTGTAAGGGTAAATGTGTTTCAGAGTTCAGGGAGGCTAGAAAGATATTCACATGGTGTTGGTCATTGGGGTGAACATGGAAGCAGCTATCGATTTCCCGAGGTGTTGCTTTATCCAATTTAGACGCACCTTGAACATGGAAGCAGCTATCGATTTCCCGAGGTGTTGCTTTATCCAATTTTAGACGCACCTGGTCTCTGTCGTTCGGCCCCCATTCAAATTTGAACTTACAGTTTTCATCGGTAGTCCGATTGTGAGAATAACGCGATCAGTGGTTGAGACCAGGCTTCAAATTTGTGGCTGCATAAATCAGTCACGTGATCAACGGACTAAGTTGATTGATTGATTCCACGGCTCACAGTTACTCTAATAAGAAGTGAAACTCCTACGTAATCGAGGTTTTCGGCATCCTACTATATAGATACGCTGAAGTGCGCTGACAGCTCACTTACAAATTTCTTGTTTCTTAGTGCCCGTTAGGGTAGATGACTATTCAAATAAAGCTTTCTAAGAGTTCAGTAGTATTGAAAATCTTGCACTACCGGTAAAAATCAATTTGCACAAATGTTATTCTTTTTAGTTGGCCGGGGAATTCACTCACCAACTTGCCTTTACTCATCTACGTCTCATCTCTAATCTTCTCATGGTTTTAGGCATGCTCAGATAAACCTCATTTCCTAAGCGTCTACTTTGAATCCACGAAAACGGGAGCCACAATGAATGGCGCCTACGTTTTACTCGGAACGTCACCGGAATTCGAACTAGCTGCATACACTACCGTTTTTCTCATGGGTCTTCCAGGAAAACTCACTGTGAATGGATGTTCAATTTACCTGGTCTGCACAAGACAGCTCTTTGACAAACGGCGTCCGCGTACCTGCTACCCAAAAGACCAGTTTCTGTAACCGTTTGTTGCAACCGAATCATGAATAAATGTACACGAAGATGGCAACGTAGTTTGTTTTTTTAGGAGCGAGTCCCATGTAATGTTTACATTATCCGGGAGATAAATGCTCATTGTGGTTACCTTCTGGTCTGGATAGGTGGTGAATACCCTATAATCATCGTCGTCGTCATCCTCGATGTCATCATTATCAGTGGCAGCAGCATAACAGTACACCAAAAATATATACTGGTTCTTACCTGCAATACAACCATAAAGGAAGAAAGCTTTATTAGAAAGTGGAAAGAAAAAGGAAGGGTAGACATTTGGTTGAAGAAGCTCTACTTCCATACAAAAAATCACCAGCAATAAGATAATCATACCTTTCAACAGAAACAAAATAAACAGACCTGAACATTATGTTGAAGAAGGTGACAAAACGGGGGGATCAATTCAGCGTCTAACGAAAACCCCAACCGATAGAAGTTCAGCAAACGACAGATGAACTGTAACTATGCAGTCAGGTTAGTAAACGATAGTATGTGCGCCTCTGAATCGGCTGTGTGCTATGTCCTTCAGGGTTCCCAGATATCTACAAGCAGGTTCACGTGGGCCACATTCAGGTAGGCGCAAAGATCTCACAGAATTCACTTTGATACTGAAGATATAGTGTGACAAAGAGAGTGAGATAGCTTGTTTTAAACAAATCAAATTTCGTGGAAGTAGCTGACATGGGCTGAGAGATGAAGACAAACAAAACCACGGGAATGGTTTTACCACATTTAAGATCAGTCAGACATCATATATCCTAACCAGACAATTTAAAGCCCGACTTCAGAACTTGCGACTTTGACCTACGCAACACCCGGCAATTCCTTTTCCCACAACTAGAGTACATCCATTACCCAAATATTCTTCGAGTTTTTGAGCAAAATTTATTTGCCCTGAAACTTCAGTGACTTGCGTTTCGTCGCCACACATTAACTCTATTATCTGTGGTTCAGACCTTGACCACGTCTGATTTCGTGCTTCTTGGCTGCTTTCCCCATTCATTCAAAATATATTCCGCAATGAATGTGATATCAGTCGAGAAAGATGTCAAGCCATCGCGTGGGCACTGTCCACACTGTCTACTAATTTACAACAAGTAGTCGTACGTCTCTGTATGAAGCTCGAGTCTCGAGTATTTTGTGATGACTGGGAGAGTCAAATGGGTATGTGCGAGTGCAATTTTGGGCAGTTTGAATAATTTTCAGTTTGAGAAGTAACCTCGTCAGAAACAATACATTTTGCAACACAGATTTGTTCAATTGTCCTAGAAACCGATATCAGGGAAATGGGACTGTCTCCAAGCAACGGTACTACCTGATCAGAATTTATGAACAAGCAATCATGTGCAGTACTAATTGCTGATCAAATCAAAAACATGTCCTTGGTGCTGAGAGAAGCTACCTTGTTCTAGTTCTTCGAACCAACGTATACTGAAGAAGTCCTGATGGAATCGTGATCGGGTGAAAGATAGTTAACTGTTCAATTAGTTCTACTCCACGTCGTCCTTCATGCAAGCTGCCAGGCTTTCAACGATCTTTGAAAGGAATGATTAGGTAAGTATAGTGGTTGCAATTCTTCACGCAAGTATGGCAAGATATGCCCTCAGCTTTCGGTAAAAGATTTTCTTTATTTTTACTGGTGATTCACTGGTAAGCAGCTGCAAATCAGTTCTTTCACTATATCTTAATTCCTAACAAAACGGAGTCCTACTTTCGAAAATCTCCACTTATTCTAAAGTAATTCATCTTGGAAAATCCTTAGGGTCTGTCAACTTGAAATTTTTATCCTCCCCCATTTTCCAATACTCTGGCGGAGCTGTTCAGTCCTTTTGACATAAGGGAGTCAATCACAAACGTTTGGCCTCTAAAAAGAGTAATTTTGTGAATAGATCGTAGTAGAATCAGTACTAATTGGATCTGTAAGTAACGTAGCTGAATCTTTGTGGGCCGATAAACTGAGCTCTTCGCCATTTGAAAGGAAATTGATGAAAAAATTCTTGACCTAACTCAGTTGAGGTTGCCCAGTCCTTCGTAGTGAACACAGAATAGAATGATCTGGTCAGCTGACTGCATATTAGGCAATAATTTACTTATTCCATGTGTTACTTCATACCTTTAGAACAGGTAAGAATGTTGCATAGCTCAGTATGACGGACTTTGCCACCAGGGTCAGCTAAAGTTTTTAATTCGGTCAAGATCTCGTTTCAAGAGAGCACATCAGTTTCATGCTTCTTTTACAACATTAAGTGCCTTTCGTGATGAGTATACTACTTTTCAAGTCGGTTACTTCACGTTTGCCCAGAATGGAGTTGGTATGATTGTAGAATTTTTCCTTTCAGTGTGTGTAATTTTATAACCATGTGCAGTTGTTTCACTATGGACGAAGCTCAGCTCTCCACTGAGGAGAAGGGCACACGAACCGAACCGGACCGAACTGCAACAAGGAGTCAGATTTTGACACGGAAAAGTTGAAACGTTCCCCTAGTATTCCTGAAGGCGTGAGGCCGTCTAACCGAATTCCTCTGCACTTCCGGCAAATGTAAGCTGAGCTTGAGTAGATAATTCTGCTTATTTCAAGCAGCTGAAAATCCAGCAAGCACTTAACCACTGAATTGTTTACGACAGAATGGTAGAAAGACATTCGAGTGAAGACACTAGCAGACCATTGAACCCAAACCTCTGACAGTTTCAGTGACGTTTGCGCTTATTAGCCCATTCGCCAAACGAAGAGACGGGTCTTAATTAATGTTAAGGAGCCTCTGATTGTGTGCAGCACTCATGAAAAATCTGATCTCACCGAGTTCTGTAGGTTGAAGAGTAAAACCAAGGCTGTTACCATGTAGACGCAGGAGAATTCAGGTTTGCCCAACATGAATACTATGATATCCAAATCAAAGGGGAATTCATGCACTTCAATCCTCTTGAAACCAATGGAGAAATTTCAAGTACTTTCTCGCCAAATGAAATGCTTTCGGGTAAGAGTCCTGGGAACGAAGCACAAGAGTTGCTGATGGTATCTAGGAATGAGCTGTGGTTACCACGAGCTTATTTGTGGGCCAGAGATTTTATGCCATCAAATCGCAAGCCGGTTACTTAGGTTTGCTATAGCAGTTTCGTGAAAACCTTCATCAAACGGAAACATAGTCCAAACTAACTTGAATGTTCAACACTGACGTGCGGGCTATAACTCACTTTCGTAATCGGTAACTGATGTAAATGTGATCAGTTTAATTCCGTGGTTGCTCAAAAGCCAACAGATAGGGCTTACTGCATGTACCTCCAGCTCCATTAGAAAATAAGTGGTGATTAGCTCGGTGTTGCAAAAGCCACCTGCGTTATTGTTATATCTGATGATTAAACTAGATACATTACATACTTCTGCTGAACTGAGGTGACCAGTACGTGCGTTGAATTATTCAGTCGTAACAACTACAGATGAGCTCCCTTTAATGAACAGGGGGTAGTTAGATCTGAATAGAAAGTGCTTTCCTGATAGTCGGGACTAAAGTCGGCCAGTTCACAACTTGGCGCGGTAAATAAAGCAAAACCACTAACTTGACCAGTACAAGTTTAGACATCACAAATTCAGCTGGTTACAAGTAAAATACTGATTAGAAAGGTCACAGCCTGTCAACTGAAGGCTACGTCAGAATCAGCCTCCGACTACAGCGGCCGCGACTACAACTGCGTAATCACACGAAGACTGTAAATGCCAAAGTCTACAAAATGACTTTGTGAGCTCAAATGCTCTGCACTTGAATATTTGAATTTAGTTGAGGAGTCGCAACAAATATCTACATCAGCTATATCAGGAGTAACCACAGAGGCAGTTTTCTCGATAACTTGCTTAGCAGTATGTAAGCAAAACATTACGATGGAAAGAAAGTGGCTGTTTCTGATAGCGGATGTGAGGCGCAGATAGAATTTGACACGTTAAACTGAAAACTATCCTGAATTTCACTTAGTGTGCCTAAAGTTAGGATAGATATATGCCTGAGTACTGAGTAGGACAACAGTAAGTTCACTAGCGGCAACGAAAAAGACAGGGGGTTATGCGGGTTGCGTGTTTTTGCCTACCCATTTTGCCATGTGCAGTGAATAAGATAACCTGGAAGCTATTATCACGCAACAGCTAATGCGGCATGAAGCCGCGCTTGGTTGCAAATTCCATGTTTATATGTAGCCTTGCACTGACGGGGTTCTGTACCTCGGACATGGAATAGAGTAGGCTTTAAAACAAAAATCTTTGGCTCCAAAGTATGACTGAAATGCAGCGTTGGTTGCTATGAGGCTGGAGGAGCAGTTTAACTTTTCAAGGAAGAAATTACCGCACCTATCATAGCTCCCCGGTTAGAAAACCGCTTGTCATACCTCTATACGCTAAGCAGCCGGATGAAATGAAGAAGGCCCTCGCTGCAGTTATTTATCGGGAAACAACAACTGAGAATTTACAGACTATTGGACAAGGAAGAAACAGGAAGCTGAGAAACCCTCTTCTTTAAGAACAGGTCTTCCTGAGCTTTCTTGGATATTCGTTGACTGTCACTCAAATGTAAATGGATGCTACAAAGCGATTCCACAAATTCCGTGATAAATCTCACTTTTTAATAGATGTAAAGCGGATTAACGAGAAAACTACATGCTATTCGCGTGCCTCATCAGTAGTATCCACCGCTTTACACCTTCCCCCTTGAAAGCTCGCTTGCATACCACCGATTTTCATCAACCTCCTTTAGGTCTACTACATCAGCTGGTCTATTTAGCTACCCTTTGGGTGGGTCATACCACTTGCGAAGCTGCGTCCTATTTACACTTTTCGATTCCCTACCGGCTTGAGTTCTATAGACGTTTCACCGATGGTCGATGACGAAAAGCAGACCTTGTCATCGACTGCCCAGCTTGAGTGATTCCAGTCCACTGCACCCAGGATTCTGATGATCCTTTCATTTAACCTTCACGCCCATGGGGAATGATCGTGCCTTTCAACTGGCCGTTTCCTTCCTGGTCCTTTCCTGAACGGCGGTCAGGTTTTCTCGAGCTTTCCTGCTTTCTCCCTCTAGCTCCTTCGGAGACAAGCGCGTTGCCGCCCACAACCCAATCCCCCGATTAACCAGAAGGCGCGAATGTTGACCGTACATCAGCAAAAACGAGGAATTGTCTGTGGTTGGCTGTATGGAAGAACGAGGAGCTAGCAATCGGCAGGTTCACCTCCAGTCACCTCCTTTGGTCAAACCCACTCCTTGATCGTTCGGTTATTGCGTTCGATTGGACCATTTGTTTGCGGGTGGTGTGGTGCCGACCTTCGCCGTCTAACGCCTAGCTCCTGCATGCTCCTGCCCGCTGTGTAGAGAAAATCTTCAGGCGCGTCCACCAAGTGAGTGCACATTTATAAATTAAACTATTCCCATTAGTTGCCGATCAGTCTACCTACCGTTCAGCTAAAAGAGCTTG